GGCATGCTTACCTTGCCTTCCCTTTCTTTCCCCCCTGGGTTGCCAGGAAACCAAGCCCCCCCTCTCTCCTCCGCTGCCCCTCTGTGGAGAATACTCCTACACCTTTGTGGGCATTTGAAGAAGTTGGTGTCTGTTATTTCTTATCTTGGTGTGTGTAACCTTGATTTGTAGAAAGTTTGTAAGATGTACTAACTGAGAAAAATAATTGGTTCTCTCTCTGATGTTCCCTCCCTCTGAGAAACCCTGTTAAAAGAGACCCCCCAGACCCCAAATCCTTTGTCTCTCGTCCCTTGGATTCCCCTTCACAGAAATAAACTGTGGAATGCAAACCAGAGAGAGAGTCCCCCCCTGATTTCTTTACTCGCTCTATAGACTTGAACTCTTGGAGAAAATCAGTGAACCTCACAAACATATGCTGGCTCAAAACTCGAGTGAAGAGAAACCTCATCACTGAGCTAGCCGGGTCACACTCGAGAAGATCGAGTCAGGAAAAGGGGAGGGAGGGAGTAAGAGCAACAGGGGGAGAGCGGGGGAAACCAGGGAGGCTTAGGAGAGGGGGGAGACAAGAGAGGGGTAAGAGGGGAAAAACCAAGAGGGTAAGAGTAAGAGAGGGAAAGAGTGGAAGAGGTAAGAGAGGGGGAGAGGGGAGCTGAGAGAGGAGTAAAGGGGTAAGAGAGAAGAGCCAAGAGGTACGAGAGAGGTTAAGAGGTAAGAGAGAGAGGTTTAAGAGTGAAAAGCTAAGAGAGCAAAGTTCTTGTCACAATCCAATGTATCTTTTTCTACAGTGAATATTCTAATTCCCAGTATCCAATCACTATGAGATACACCCACTAAAGACTTTACATACAGTGTTGCATTTGAGGCTCTACAAGCTTTACAAGTTCTTTCCTTGCTTCTTGGCCTTTGGGCTTTCTGTCAGCAGAAGGGCATTGTTTTATCAGCAGGGATTTTCCTTTAGCTGGCTAGGCTATTGTTCTCTGGTCATATAGTAACCAGTACTCTGTATCTTATGACTCAAAGCAGGCTTTCATTTCTACTTCGATTCTAGCCTTCTTTTTTCAGAATGTTCTGCCAAACAATCACATTCATAAGGTTTCCCTGTTTCACCCTCCCCAACAGGCAGCGAGTTGTGCTGCGCTCTGATAATTCCATACTCAACCTGTTCCTCATTTCTTAAAGGTTCACTTCAGCCTTGAATCAGCAGGTCCCTAGGTCCTGCTTCCACAGGATCATCTGGGCCCAGCACCAGAGAAAAGGACTCGTGCCACTCCCGGTCTTCGTTGGACATGATCTCCACCTTAAACATGATGTGGGCCACACCTGACAACAGTTCAGAGACACGGGGGTTACTGTGCGAGTCAGAGCCTCAGCCACCACGTCACCAGCTCGGCTCCCTTCGGCTCTGCTGGCAGCAAGGGCAGAGTTTGCAGGGAGGGGAAGAAGCAAAGACGTGACTGAGAACATTCAGTCAGCATCTCAGTCCCCCCTGCCCCGAGAGGAGGCAGCTCCCTGTGAGCTCCCAAGGCCCCCTCCCATCCCTTCTCCTCCCTGACCTTCTTCCCTCCCTCCTGCACCACGAAGAGGGGGCTGGTGCCGTCGGAGACGGTGAGGGTGAAGCGGTCCCTGAGCGCGCTGCCGCCGCGGTGCCTGTAGCTGCCGCGCTTCTGGTAGATGTGAAGTCATCCATGGTGAAGGTGGTGGCCTGCAGAGGACGCTGCCCATGGCCGCTGCGTTCCATAAGCCCGTGCCGGGGTGGCTGCACCACCCCGAACGTCAGGGACTCCACCTGTGCCCGGACATGGAGGGGCAAAGCTGGGGACACGACCTCAGGACACTGCCCTTCCAGCTCAGGAGGCCCGGACAGGGATTCTGGCCAGGCAGCTCCCCTGCGTTGGTGTTCCCAACACAAGGGTTAGCACAGAACATTCCTGGTTCCCCCTGAGCCCCGCCCTGTCCTTGTCCCTCTCCCAAGGGATTTTGTTTTGTAGGTGTCTCCCTATAAAACAAGGCACATCCTACTGAATTCCTGCTTCAACTGGTCTGAGACAGCTCCCACCCACCCCTGTGCCTGCTCCACGAACACAAGAGCAGCCCCCAGTCCTGCAGCCATTCCGGGCAGTGTGTCCCTTGCCACTTCTGCCAGGGCAAAAACCTTGGGGGCAGGATTTTGGCTCAGGCAGCCAGATCTCTTGCTGCAGGGGAAACAGCAGTGAGATAGAGCCAGTGTTAGACAGCTCAGCCTCTGGCCAGACCCAGGAAGAAGAGGAAGTGCCATTTCCATCCATGCTGAGCATAAATTCAGCATTAAGTCTTTAAACACAAGCCCAGATGTGCAGCACAAGAGGGGAGCAAGGAGGCTGGGGGTGGTCCTGCCTTACCTCTGTGTCAGCATCTGTCGCTTTGAGCTCAAACTCCGTGATGGTTTTTCTCACCCCTTCCTGAACTGTCATCCCAAAGACTTGCATGATGGGCAAGGAGTCATCCACGGGGTTTATGGTGATGTCAAATGTCTGGCTCACCTGGGACAGGAAGAAAAGCTTCCCTTGCCGAATTCAGCCTTCCAAGAGTGTGACTTCACCGCAAGAGCACAGCAATCCCCAGTTTGGGTCTCTTCATTTCAGCCTTGTCTGAGCTGCTAAGCCCAGATCACTTCTTTATCCCTCCCCACTCATTAATTCTCCCTCTTTCTGTGATATTTACGGACATCCACTTTCCCTCCCTCTCTCACTCAGTTTTGCCCCTCTCCCTCTATGTGCAGCTAGACTTCTTCTCTTTCAGAAAACAGGAAAAAGGCATTTCTCCAGGGGCTGGCTGTCGTCACTACGCTGTCAGTGCACTGGATCAAAGCTGAGCTCCAGCAACAGTTGGCAAGCAGCTGAAAACCAGGCACCCAGCTCTTGGTGAGCCCACAGGGCAGGTGGCTCCCTGTTCCCTGCACAGGCCTTCCTCCCTCCCTGACCTGAGCAATGTGGGAAATCCCACAGCAGGTGAAGGAGGAACAGCCACATCTGCCCACTCAGGCAAAAGTCAGGCTGGGACTGACCTCGTTTGTCCCATCAGACACAGAAAAGGTGAAGGCATCCGTGTGCTTTTCCTCCTCACTGGTGTGGACGTACTGGATGCTGCCAGAGGCCAAGTCTGCCTGGCTGAAGGAACTAATTCTTGTCCCTGGAAAATGAACAACAGGGAGGAAATGTGCAGCAGAAAGAGCAAGGCAGGGAAAAACTACAGGAAGCAGGACATATTTAGGCATGAGGACTCGGTTTTGGCTGGTTCTGATCCAAGTCAGGCTGCCCTGTGAACCCTCAGCTGAGCCAGGGATTTAGCTGGCACAGAGCCTCCTAAAATTTCCTTCTCAAAAAGAAGTCCAGGCTTCTTTTCATCTCCTCCTGTTGGGAGTGGGCCTCCTGGGGCAGAGAAGCTGGGAGAAAAACTGTCCATGTAACACTTGGATTGTCGCTGCTGGGCAGGACTAAGCCAACCGTGGCATCACTGGGGATGAACCGAAGGCCTCCTGGCCTCACAGCAGTTTTCCAAAATGCCTTCCAAGGATCTCTTCTCTCTGCCCTTCCTTATACCCCTGCATTTAGTACCCAGTCCCATTTTCAGCACTGATTTATAGTGACATCTTTACAGCCCATTAGGTGTGACACAGCCACAGAAAGGTACCTGACAAGCATTTTAAAAAACACTTGAGCATTTTTAAATCTCTTTGCTGCGTTCAACAGTTTTTACTGCTGCTGTCAACCAACATCCTGACAAGAAGTTTGACACCAATATATCACACTAAATGGCTGCTGACAAGTGCTGGCCACACTACAGAAGACACCAGGATCTGATTTAAATAAACGAGCCACAATGGAATGATCAGCTAATATTTCCTCCGAGCTCATCAGCTGGAAAGGTTTGGGTTCTCTTTTGAACACTTCAGTACTCTCTCCTTAGGCTTAGGTCATTTGAATCATTACAGCTACTTCTCAGTCTGTGACTCGGTAGCCTTATTGGTTCCTCACAGACATGAAAAAGCAGAGAAATCAGAATCATCATCAGATTTTAAATAACAGGAGGAATAAAGCCCTTAATTCAAGTCTCCAAAGTACAAGATTCGCTGGTTAGTTTGCAATTTAGACAAAGATACTGCAAGTTTTTAATTTACTCTCACAGCATGGAGTAGTTTGCTTATTATAACTCATTCACTATTCCTGCCCTTTCAACATGTTTTTGTGAGAAGATGAGGCAAACCACACACCCAAACTGAGCTGTACAGGGACCGTCTGCATCTTGAAAACACAGAGCAGATATTTCCGCTTTCATCTCACGTTAACGAGAAATCTAAAGCTAAGAAGAAATACAACCTTAGATGAATATAATAAAATCAGAAGAGCGTATTTTATGACACCGCAGATCAAGATTAATTCATCAGGGAGAGGCAGCACACTCACACAGTCAGCAGAATAACAGCAGGGTGGAGCTGCTCCCACTCCAAGGCAAGAGCCTGCAAGGCCCATCCTTTGGGGACTCGTCTTTTGTGTGAAGGCACATTGTCTAGCAGAGGAAGAGGTTGGTACCTGGTGGAGCAGGGCCAAGATTCCATTTTCCCCAGGCAGCTCCCCCTGCATGCTGTAGCGCTGGCCAGGGCTGGGAGAGGAGGGGGAGTGTGTTCAGCACTGCTGCTGGAACGGAGTGGCCCTCTCAGGAGGATCCCGGTTGCTTCAGGACCTTGCTTTTGCACTGGTTTGTGTCCACAAAGGAAAGGCATGCAGAAGGCAGCACCATCACCCCAGCCCTGCAGTCAGGAGTCCATCAGCTTTCCCCACAGTGAATGTGGTTAAGGTCTCCTTAACCAAAGGAAAACTCAGCACCACTACAGATGTACAGAACATGTTCTTGGTCAGGGTTCTAGATTATGGTTCTAGGTCAGGGTTCTAGGTCAGGGTTCTAGATTATGGTTCTAGGTCAGGGTTCTAGGTCAGGGTTCTAGGTCATAGTTCTAGGTCAGGGTTCTAGGTCATGGTTCTAGATTATGGTTCTAGGTCAGGGGTCTAGGTTATGGTTCTAGGTCAGGGTTCTAGGTCAGGGTTCTAGGTCAGGGTTCTAGATTATGGTTCTAGGTCACGGTTCTAGGTCATGGTTCTAGATTATGGTTCTAGGTCATGGTTCTAGATTATGGTTCTAGGTCAGGGTTCTAGATTATGGTTCTAGGTCAGGGTTCTAGATTATGGTTCTAGGTTATGGTTCTAGGTCAGGGTTCTAGGTCATGTTCTAGGTCAGGGTTCTAGATTATGGTTCTAGGTCAGGGTTCTAGGTCAGGGTTCTAGGTTATGGTTCTAGGTCAGGGTTCTAGGTCATGTTCTAGGTCAGGGTTCTAGGTGGCCAATCACTGCCGCCCTTTGAATCCAGGAGCGGTCTCGCCAAGCTCAGCCTGCTGAGTCGTGGCCCGTTCCCGCTCCCCCGTTTTGCTGGGGTGCCGCTCCGGCCGCTGTCGCTTTGGGAGCCGGCAGAGCCGAGCTGCCGCAGCCCCGAGAGGTGCTGCTGGGTCCCGGGAAGGGTGGGCGGGGGCTCCCCGTTCAGGTCCCGGCCGTAACTTCGCCCAAAGAAACGGGGAGAAGGGGGGGAGCGGGCGGGATCGCGGGAGCGAGGCCTGAGGGGACAGCGGGGGGTCGCGGAGACGAGCGCGGCGGGAACGGGCGGGCTGGGATTGGCGGGCCCGGCGCTGCCTCGGGCTGTGATTGGCTGGGCTGGCCGGTGTGGGCTATAAATAGTGTGAGCTGGAGGGGTGCGGGCCTTAGTTCGGCGGCGAGCGGTG